TTAATACAAGTTGTAACAAGCGGAAAATAGAGACAGTTACGGTTTGTGTTTCCAGATAAGTTCCCAACGCCTCTGAGCCGATGGAAGACGGTTGAGTACATACCTCGTCCCATCTGCCCAAGGCGGCCTTCACGTACCTGCCTACGTTTAATTCTACCTTAACTGCCTACCCTTAATCCTACAGGAGGTGACCTAACAGCCAAGATGTGAGAGCCTTTCAGCAATTCATAAAAGAACTTGCTGAAAACAACGCTGCTACCATTGTAACCGGGGTCGGGGGAAATGGCTCTCTGTTTCGTCCATTAGCCCGCCCTTAGTTAACTATTTCTACAGTACCCCCCAGAGTTCCTACTGCAACCTCTCTAGTTCAGTACCTTGTAACCTCGGTATTTGATTACCTACGTACTACACAAACAAGGTATTGTACCTGATCTGCTACCAGCAACTCTAGAGAACTCTAGAACATTTCACTGTCACTATCCGGGAAAATAAAAGAAAGGAGTTATTAAATGGGGGTGAGGGCATGGGGCGAGGGAGTTAAGAGAGGTGGAAGGGGGGGTGGGAGGAGTATGGTCAGGGGAAAAGGTAAAGTTAGAAGGAGGAAGAGAATGAGATCACTGGGGGAAGTAGAAAATAGCAGAGTTGTAAATAAGGTAGAAAGTAGAAGTAGAAAGTAGCTGCCACCATCCATTTATGTACATTACAGACAAGACAAGGAATGGAACTTGTCTGTACCACAAAATTATCCAAGGAGTTCATGTATCAACTGTAAGCATATTCTCGCATATTAAATTCGTGAAAACAGTAAACTCAGCGGCCTGTCAACTCTAGCCTCAACCGCCAAAGGTCTAGGGAACAAAATTAAAGTCAACTTTACCAACAAGTTAATATAATATATATTTAACATTAGATCTTCATTCATAGGGATATTATACGTTAATCAGGTAAATTTAAATGTCAACATGAATACATAAATGTGAGTCACCACACAAGAATTTGAGGCCACTACGACTGACTGCCGCCGAAAATCACACAACAACTTAAGTTGGGAAACACCCTAGACACGTCACCTTCAGTTCAACTCACCAAAGTCCCTAGATCTAAGTTGGATATTAAGGGGGGGGGGGCGTGATTGACAGAGTCCCCCCCCCCCAACCTGACAGCCTGGCGACAAGCGAGCTCCAGCTTGGTCTTCGATCCTCTGTGTTTCTGTCTGATCTCTGTCTACTGAATGTACAGTTCCCTGGGTATTTATGGGGAGACCCTGGAGTTAGCTCCGCCTAATAAGTAGACGAAGCTAACTTAGCCTCAGGCGCTCTACCTATCACACCTTAAACAACGGCTTGTTTGATGGGCACACCTGACTACCTGTCTGCAATTATCAGCTTAGCAGAAGCAAGATCAATTAACACGACCTGACCCCTGGTCATCATGTGGTCATTAACACTGCAGAGGTGTGACTTTTTAATTACTAACGAGAGACAGTCTGGCGCCTCAAATATCATGCATGACTGACTATCATGTATTCTATATGAAATACACTACAAAACACCTTTATGGTGTTATACAGTGTTGATACTGGTGGTCACCTTAGAGGACAGTGTTGATACTGGTGGTCACCTTAGAACACAGTGTTGATACTGGTGGTCACCTTAGAGGACAGTGTTGATACTGGTGGTCACCTTAGAGCACAGTGTTGATACTGGTGGTCACCTTAGAACACAGTGTTGATACTGGTGGTCACCTTAGAACACAGTGTTGATACTGGTGGTCACCTTAGAACACAGTGTTGATACTGGTGGTCACCTTAGAACACAGTGTTGATACTGGTGGTCACCTTAGAACACAGTGTTGATACTGGTGGTCACCTTAGAACACAGTGTTGATACTGGTGGTCACCTTAGAGCACAGTGTTGATACTGGTGGTCACCTTAGAACACAGTGTTGATACTGGTGGTCACCTTAGAACACAGTGTTGATACTGGTGGTCACCTTAGAACACAGTGTTGATACTGGTGGTCACCTTAGAGCACAGTGTTGATACTGGTGGTCACCTTAGAACACAGTGTTGATACTGGTGGTCACCTTAGAACACAGTGTTGATACTGGTGGTCACCTTAGAACACAGTGTTGATACTGGTGGTCACCTTAGAACACAGTGTTGATACTGGTGGTCACCTTAGAACACAGTGTTGATACTGGTGGTCACCTTAGAACACAGTGTTGATACTGGTGGTCACCTTAGAGGACAGTGTTGATACTGGTGGTCACCTTAGAGGACAGTGTTGATACTGGTGGTCACCTTAGAACACAGTGTTGATACTGGTGGTCACCTTAGAGGACAGTGTTGATACTGGTGGTCACCTTAGAGGACAGTGTTGATACTGGTGGTCACCTTAGAGGACAGTGTTGATACTGGTGGTCACCTTAGAGGACAGTGTTGATACTGGTGGTCACCTTAGAGGACAGTGTTGATACTGGTGGTCACCTTAGAGGACAGTGTTGATACTGGTGGTCACCTTAGAATACAATAAACTTCTGAAGTTAATAGCTCTCTCCCTCCCTCTCTCTCTTTGAGAGAGCCGTTCCTCCTTCCCTTTCTCTAGTGAGGAGAGATAGTTCCCTCCTCCTCCTCCTTCCCGACACGAGTGCCGTTACCATGGCTGGTGTTAGTACGGGTTCACTCACCCGGCTACCCACACAAGATAATGCCAGACGGGGTTGTAAACCCCTGATAACCCTGTAGTATGTCCCCCGGGCTCTATAGCCATGTCCCCCGGGCTCTATAGCCATGTCCCCCGGGCTCTATAGCCATGTCACCCCGGGCTCTATAGCCATGTCCCCCGGGCTCTATAGCCATGTCACCCCGGGCTCTATAGCCATGTCCCCCGGGCTCTATAGCCATGTCCCCCGGGCTCTATAGCCATGTCACCCCGGACTCTATAGCCATGTCCCCCGGGTTCTATAGCCATGTCCCCCGGGCTCTATAGCCATGTCCCCCGGACTCTAACCCCCCAAGCCCACCTCCCCACAGAGCCGGAGGTGGGGCGGGGGTTCACCTAATTGTCTTATTAGAACTGAATCCTGATGGATCGAGTTGGATGCTGTCAAAATTAAAGCAAACATTATGGGAGAAATGTGTTGATGAGGACATTACGTTGTGACTGGCTGAGGTCAATACTAGTAAGGTCAACTGATAAATTATATTAATTTACGGTATTAATCCACATTGTTTAATAGATCATCATGATTATATTATTGACGTACATCAGTTCACTCAAGCCTAATAATTTGGTTCCATTAGTTCAGACTGACACACTCGGACAATAGCTAAATGGTCGTTCTTCCAGCTGTCAAAAGCCCGTGGATGAAAAATACTTAACACACGATACATCTAATTACTTTCAGACTTTTTTCTTGAACTGACATTCTTCCTGTGTTCGAATCGCAGGTCGAATTTTTTCACTAAGGTAGTACAAAGACAAACAGACGCCAACACAACCAAAACACCTAACCTACCCTGGTTGATACCTGGTTGATACCTGGTTGACGGGGTTCTGAGAGTTCTTCTACTCCCCAAGCCCGGCCCGAGGCCAGGCTTGACTTGTGAGAGTTTGGTCCAACTGTAATACCCAGTGACTGTAGACCCGTCCACTGTAACACCCAGTGACTGTAGACCCGTCCACTGTAACACCCAGTGACTGTAGACCCGTCCACTGTAACACCCAGTGACTGTAGACCCGTCCACTGTAACACCCAGTGACTGTAGACCCGTCCACTGTAACACCCAGTGACTGTAGACCCGTCCACTGTAACACCCAGTGACTGTAGACCCGTCGACTGTAACACCCAGTGACTGTAGACCCGCCCACTGTAACACCCAGTGACTGTAGACCCGTCGACTGTAACACCCAGTGACTGTAGACCCGCCCACTGTAACACCCAGTGACTGTAGACCCGTCGACTGTAACACCCAGTGACTGTAGACCCGCCCACTGTAACACCCAGTGACTGTAGACCCGTCGACTGTAACACCCAGTGACTGTAGACCCGTCCACTGTAACACTCAGTGACTGTAGACCCGCCCACTGTAACACTCAGTGACTGTAGACCCGTCCACTGTAACACTCAGTGACTGTAGACCCGCCCACTGTAACACTCAGTGACTGTAGACCCGTCGACTGTAACACCCAGTGACTGTAGACCCGCCCACTGTAACACTCAGTGACTGTAGACCCGTCGACTGTAACACCCAGTGACTGTAGACCCGCCCACTGTAACACTCAGTGACTGTAGACCCGTCGACTGTAACACCCAGTGACTGTAGACCCGTCCACTGTAACACTCAGTGACTGTAGACCCGTCCACTGTAACACCCAGTGACTGTAGACCCGTCCACTGTAACACTCAGTGACTGTAGACCCGTCCACTGTAACACCCAGTGACTGTAGACCCGTCCATTATTACTAATTATCTATCAGAAGTCAATATATTACAAAAATAAGCTTGCCAGAGGGTAAGGAGAATGAGCTACACCCACGACAGGAAGGTTCCTCCACACTCACACACCCAACATATCCGGTACCGGTACAGACACACACACACGGTTATATTACCCACTGGTGTGGGAGCATGTGTACAGTGGGGGGTTGAGGGGAGAGGAGTGTGTTAGGGGGTGAGGTCCCCCCTACCTCTCACGAGTTCAGGGGGGGCCCGTACTTCACAGGGGGGAAAGGGAGATGTACTAAGATAGGGAGGAGCAGGGGGAGGTGGTGACGTACCTGTCTAAGGGGAAGGGGGCCCTGCGGTATGAAAGGGAGGGGGGGGGCGTGTGTGTGGGGGGGGGGGTAGAAGGGGGGTGGCATAGAAGACAGGGGAAGGTGGTGACGTACCTGGCTAAGGGGAAGGGGGCCCTGCGGTATGAAAGGGAGGGGGGGGCGTGTGTGGGGGGGGGGGGGTAGAAGGGGGGTGGCATAGAAGACATGGGGGGGGAGACGTACCTCGCAGGGGGGCGGAGCGCTCCGGTAGGAGGGAACGATCTTGAAGGTCACAGAGCCGCGGGCTTCTCTCTGCAACACCGGGAGAGGAAAGGTCTTGTTAGTTGTTTTATCTTAACCACGGACGCGCCCGCGCATCCACACACGCACACGCTCACACACACACACGCACGCACACACACACACGCACACACACACACACACACACACACACACACACACACACACACACACACACACACACGCTCACACACACGCACACACACACACACACACACACACACACACACACACGCTCACACACACACACACACACACACACACACACACACACACACACACACACACACACACACACACACACACACACACACACACACACACACGCTCACACACACGCACACACACACACACACACACACACACACACACACGCTCACACACACACACACACACACACACACACACACACACACACACACACACACACACACACACACACACACACACACACACACACACACGCTCACACACACACACACACACACACACACACACACACACACACACACACACACACACACACACACACACACACACACGATACTGAATGCCTACATGGTAATCCACGGATACACACATCATTAATGCTCATACAGAGGCATTTATACACCAACCTAACCTTTAACAGTTTCACTGAAAAAACACACGTATGTGTGTGTGTGTGTGTGTGTGTGTGTGTGTGTGTGTGTGTGTGTGTGTGTGTGTGTGTGTGTGTGTGTGTGTGTTCACAAATATTTCAGGACAGGAAGAGGCCAGAGGATAGAGTGATAACACCCTCCCGTCAACAAGAGACCCGCCCAAGACCCAAAACACCACGACACTAACCAGGATAGTTCGGACAGTATTCCAAATGAAGCAGAAAAAGTTCACAGGATGAGAGGGGGAAGAAGCTCCTAATTTAACTATAAGGAGACAGGCTGCGAATCAAGTAACCGTAAAGGAGGAATCGAGTCGTGGAGGGAAAAGTTGTTAGAAACCCCAGACAGGAATTTCCTTACAAGAACTGAAGTGTACATAATAGAAATGAATAGTTGTAAAGAATTAAGGATTTTTTGACAAGTCACTCTGAGAGAGAAAATGGCCTCCACAACACACACACGCCCAAGAAAGCAAGAATATCACACACACATTAATACAAACACTAAAAATACACGAAGAATTGACAGACCCACACACACAAATGTATATACATCATAATACTCACCAACAATACACATACATATAAACTTACACAGGCATCACACTCGCGTCTGGGGCAACACTATCGCAGTGAAACACTGACTCAACACTCACCTCGTGCCTCTCAAAATATCACCTCCCAACACTCACTAAATACTGTGTGGCTAAGTTGTGGCTGCATGCATAACAACATGTGATAAATAGTGATAATATTAGGAAGAAAAATAATTAGGTGAACCATTCAACATTACACGAGAAGTGAAGACAATTGCCGACTGCACAGTGAGGAGATTAGGAAGCAAATACACAATACAATTTAATAAGTGGAAAAAGTCTATAATAATTACTTTATACGTACCAACGCCAATGGTGTAACACCTTATGAGAAAACCTGAAGCGGGTCGCTTACTTTCCTTCAAAAATATTAAACACATGATCAAAACAAAACCAAATATTGCATTATGTTTTAATATGATAGGGAAAGAAACATGGATTTAATTGACACTATTTGCGGCTCTCGTTACACACACACACACACACACACACACACACACACACACACACACACACACACACACACACACACACACACACACACCGTTTTATACACATTCTTCGACATACATATAATAGTCATTGATCAAGTCCACTAACTACAAGAAACAAAGCATTTACGGCACTGTTCGTCAAACTGCTGCCCTCCCTAACTGCACATTCATAAATACCTCCTTTATCTGTGTAACTTAAAACAATGTTTATAAAAATAAATGTCATTATATTACAGTTTTGTGTAACCCAAGTAGTAGACTGGGTTATGTATCGTGTTTAGGTCAGCTATTTTATGCTACCTAAGTAACCGTGGAGGAGACTCAGAGATAAGCTTCGAAAATAGTAAGTGTTACTTCGGTGAAGTATGACTCTACTTTGTCACGCCTCAGTCGTCCTAGTGTCACAGTTCAACCCGTTCTCGCACTTGCTTATAGTCAATATTGGCTTATTTAATAAGTGCATATGTGACATACTAATTGATTGTGAATATTTTAGTTTACCTTGAAAAGTTTCATAGAAAACATCGACCTCACCTAACCTTCTTAGTATGTTAAGATAAGCATCTTATTGCTTCTTATTTACAATTATTACTTAACCTATCAATGGTATAGGTTAAGTAATAACTGTAATTAAGAAGCAATAAGATGCTTATCTTAACATACTAAGAAGGTCAGGTGAGGTCGGTGTTTTCTATGAAGCTTTTCAAGGTAAACTAAAATATTCACAATCAATTAGTATGTCACATATGCACTTATTAAATAAGCCAATATTGACTATAAGAAAGTGCGAGAACGGGTTGCACAGTTGACACTATCCTTCAGGTGGCAAGGTAGTTACGTTATAAACAGTCACAACTACCCCCCCTCCCTGTTCAGTCGAGGTCATGGTTCACTCACACTGTCAGTCAAAACTACATCAGCAACATCAGCCAAACAGTTTATTCAGACACCGTCAATGGCAAGTCACAGTTTAGTCAGTCACCGGCTAGGTACACTTACACATCACTCGTAATAATTACCATCCTTTAGCACAAGTTCATCCGAGCAGAGAGCACCAGGGGCCAGATTCACGAAAGCACTTAAGCAAACACCTTCGAACCTGTACATCTTTTCTCAATTTTTGGCCGTGGACATTTTCAAGAGGAAACTAGATTTATTCCTCCAAGGAGTGCCGGACCAACCGGGCTGTGGTGGGTATGTGGGCCTGCGGGCCGCTCCAAGCAACAGCCTGGTGGACCAAACTCTCACAAGTCGAGCCTGGCCTCGGGCCGGGCTTGGGGAGTAGAAGAACTCCCAGAACCCCATCAACCAGGTATCAACCAGGTATCAACCAGGTTGGCGGCTTTGTTTACAATTATTAAACAGTTAATGAGCTCCGAAGCACCAGGAGGCTGTTTATAACAATAACAACAGTTGAATAGGAAGTTTTCATGTTTGTAAACTGTTTAATAAATGTAACCAAAGCCGTCAAAGATTGAGGAAAGATGTACACGTTCGTAAGTGCTTGCGTAACTGCTTTCGTGAATCTGGCCTCTGGAACCTGTCTGACCAATGTGTCTCACCGGAATGACTTCCTCCTCACCGTACATGTTGCCGGTCGAAATGACTCTCTATATATCACCGAAGTTTTCTGACCATAGCATTAGATGTGTCAATTCTTAAATTGGATTAATAAGACATAAAAGGTAAACACATATACATGCGCAACGCGTCTTGAATAAGAAAGTTACGCAGAGTATACTTGAAAACATACAAGGAAATGCCCATACACACATACACACACACACACACATACACACACACACACACACATACACACATACACATACACACACACACACACACACACAGCCACACACACACACACACACACACACACACACACACACACACACACACACACACACACACACACACACACACACACACACACACACACACACACACACACACACACACACACACACACACACACACACACACACACACACACACACACACACACACACACACACACACACACACACACACACACACACACACACACACACACACACACACATACACACACACACACACACACACACACACACACACACACACACAGCCACACACACACACACACACACACACACACACACACACACACACACACACCACACACACACACACACACACACACACACACACACACACACACACACACACACACACACACACCACACACACACACACACACACACACACACACACACACACACACACACACACACACCACACACACACACAGCCACACACACACACACACACACACACACACACACACACACCACACACACACACACACACACACACACACACACACACACAAACACACACACACACACACACACACACACACACACACACACACACACACAGCCACACACACACACACACACACACACACACACACACACACACACACACACACACACACACACACACACACACACACACACACACACACACACACAAACACACACACACACACACACACACACACACACACACACACACACACACACACACACACACACACACACACACACACACACACACACACACAGCCACACACACACACACACACACACACACACACACACACACACACACACACACACACACACAGCCCTCTGTGTACACAGGGGATACATTGGCAAGTTGATTTTTTGTTGCCTTAAGTTTGAGATAAAAGAAACCTATGGTAGACTAGGTATACCTCCACGGTCACTGGTAGACTAGGTATACCTCCACGGCCACTGTATGGTAGACTAGGTATACCTCCACGGTCACTGTATGGTAGACTATACCTCCACAGCCACTGTATGGTAGACTAGGTATACCTCCACGACCACTGTATGGTAGACTATACCTCCACGGCCACTGTATGGTAGACTAGGTATACCTCCACGGTCACTGTATGGTAGACTATACCTCCACGGCCACTGTATGGTAGACTAGGTATACCTCCACGGCCACTGTATGGTAGACTACACCTCCACGGCCACTGTATGGTAGACTAGGTATACCTCCACGGTCACTGTATGGTAGACTATACCTCCACGGCCACTGTATGGTAGACTAGGTATACCTCCACGGCCACTGTATGGTAGACTAGGTATACCTCCACGGTCACTGTATGGTAGACTATACCTCCACGGCCACTGTATGGTAGACTAGGTATACCTCCACGGCCACTGTATGGTAGACTACACCTCCACGGCCACTGTATGGTAGACT